GGCTTACTTTTCGTAAAGGATTTAAAAGGATTTCATTTGAGTGAGAAACATGGTAATGACATACAGCACATACACAGTACGGCATGTCGTAACACGTATATGCTCTCACTGATATTCTATATAATAATTTTTTTACATGGTGAGCGAGCCAACGACTACAGAGGAATTATTAATCATAGAAAACATTACACTTGTTTTTCCTGTTCGCTTGCACTACCTAATGAACACAACAATCATAATCATTTTTCCTTAGATTTTTCAAATAGCAGATATTAGAATTACACTGTTGCCTTCAAAYGATTGCTGCATTTGGGTCAGTTTCTGTACAATTTATTCTATTGACTTGAACTAATAAATTGATTGAAGGCAATAGAGTGTACCTCTAATATCTCTTATTATAACAGTTGGCTAACCTCTTCCAACAAGCTTATGTCTTGAATTTGAAAGTATCGTCCCCCAGTGATAGCAGTGAGGCCTGACAAGAGATAGTTATCCGGTGCTTGAGAAGGACTGGTCTGTGTTCCTTCCAGGTCAATACCAATGATGTATAATGGTACGGCATCAGTTGCAAGGACGTGGCCCAGGTCAATTACATCGTAACCAAAGCAACATCTGTAGTGCTCAAGGTTGGCAGAATTGCTTGTAATAAAACCTGCAAATATTTTAGACCAAATAAGTATACTGGCACATACAACAACAAATTTATTGTAGAGTAATAGTAATTTAACGACACTTCTGTTCAAGCTAGCCTCGTCCCCTTGCTACTCTGTCAGCTCTCCCAAATCAAAAATGTCAGACGCTTCAGAGCTGACATATGTAATCATTTGAGAGTCAAATCCCAAGTATGATGTCATGCCAATAAGCGAAGAAAGTAGCATGGGGACGAGGTTATGTTCAAGCTAATGTACTTACAAATCACAATACACAGCTTAGTGGCTTCTCTGTGCATATCATCTTTAAGACTATGCACCATACTCAAAGCATCTGCTAGCCCAGAGTTCATTATGCCTCCACAATGTACCTCAGGCTTCACACTGGCTGTCATCTTCAAATCATTAGATAATTCTTTGACAAGGAATGCAATTTGTTGTTGATTAGGTTGTCGTACTGGAACATTGGTATGGTTACCAAACTTAATGGCTGCCAGCCTGAAACTGTGTAATTCCTTGTGCCAARAATAGTATTTGTTCATTGCAGACTCAAATTTTCCTACTACTGCCCTGCGCTTATTTACATCAACTGTAGAAGGCAGTTCTATTGCCAGTACAATGTCAAGCATTTGATTACAGTGAATTTTTAGACTTGGATCTAGTCCTGAAATGAAAAAAAAAGATAACTTAGTTTACTTACTCAGCTAGTACCCCAGGGGTACTCTTGCCTATTTAGGGTAGGGATGTGCCGCTGAGCCCTGAGAACCCTGACCCTGTTCCAGAGTAAAATTGCTGAAATTCCATACCCTGTTCAAGAGCAAGATCTCTGAAACCCATACCCTGTTTTACAGTTCTGTTACATGCGAAAATAGACAGTGTCCTGTGCCAGAAAGAGAACATGATTTCATAATATGAAATATATATACTATATACTGTTCCAGAGAGCAAGCACGATTGTATTTGAGCTGTTCCAGAGTATCCCTCCCCTATCCCCCCTTCCCTACCCTGGGTAGAGGGTTACAGTACTCTTATAGACCATGGTCAGCTGATTAGCTGGAGCAACCCAACATTTTTTTACAAACCTAAGACACTATGATTTCTCAGTAAAGGTGGTTTTGATTGCTTCTCTCCATTCTTAGGCTTCTTCGGCACATCTCCTTTTTTCTTCTCTGCTATTTTTATTGAAGACTTGTTGTCTACTGTGAGCTCAACAACTTCCAAGTCAGTTAACCAAGGCTTTTTATTCACTGCATCTATCTGCAATTGGTTGATTTTCTCCTCTGTTTTGGGTAATTGCAGTCTTAGTTGCGAGTATTGCGGGTTTTCCTCATCTTCATCAGTTGCAACATAAAAGACATCAGATATTTTAAGATCAAGAGCTCTGCTTATTGACTCTCTGATATGGTCTAATTGATTAACAGTAACGCTGCTCTTCTGGCCATTTATAACCAAAAATAGGGACTCCATTTTGTAGCCTGTAAAAAAAATTTAAATTAATAATTTTGATTGACTCATAAATAAATGAGATTTCCATTTAATTTCGTCTRTTTATAGGCAGTGGTTCCTAAAAGTGGTTTTTCTACTAATGAATCAAAATGGAATCTAACTGGAAATTCCAATCCCCACCATGGGTGAGGTATGGATATTTTCTGGTACTACACAATATACCCTCCTCAGACCCTCCCCACCCCTTGGAAATTCCAATCCCCCTCCATGGGTGAAGTATGGATATTTTCTGGTACTACACAATATATGCTCCTCAGACCCTCCTCCCTCTTGAAAATTCCAATACCCCTCCATAGGGGAGGTATGGATATTTTCTGGAACTACACAACATACCCTCCTCACACCCTCCCCACCCCTTGGAAATTCCAATCCCCCTCCATGGGGGAAGTATGGATATTTTCTGGTACTACACAATATATGCTCCTCAGACCCTCCCCCCTCTTGAAAATTCCAATCCCCCTCCATAGGAAAGGTATGGATATTTTATGGAGCTACGAAGTATACCCTCCTTGGGGACTGCAATTCCCCTAAGGCACAGAATTTTTTAAACTTTGATTTTTTAAAACTTTACCGGGTATTTTTTCGTTTATTTGAGCTGGTGGAGCACTCTTCAGCGTCGTGACTGAAGTTTTGCGATATTCCTTCACTYTGTTCGCTAAGTCGATTCTGCGACACTCCTTCAATAACTCTATAAAGAAGTCCAAGTTGTTCTCAGATAACAATCGATTGTTCTTCAAACAAGACACTAGTTGTACTCCGGGTTGTTTTGCTTTCTTTATCTCCAATACGTTCTCTTCTGGTAATTTCTCTTCAATCAGAAATATCGCTATTTCTATGTCCTCTTTAACGATTTCCAGACCAATTCGTTTTGTAAAACATAAAAATTCATCAATCAATTTTCTTGTTTTATCGTCAGACGAGTTGCCCGCCATTCTCGCCTCAAATGATTTTCAAAATCTAGTTTCTTCATTCCAGAGAGCTTTGAAAAACTTTACATGCAAAATTTGAGGAAACTCCAATACTTGTTAGGAAGTTTTTAGGCATTACTTTTGAGTATAAATTTAAACGAAGACAGGAAGATCTTGTTCAAACAGCTTCCTACTACGCAATCTTGAGGATTCACCACAGGAAACCCAGATTTGCTTTCGAAATTTTATTCCGTTYTTAGGAAATTCTTATCATTTTAACGCAAAATTTAAACTCCTTGACTAGTAATTTCTTTTAATTCAATATCGATAAAGAAAAAAGAAAAAAGGTTTTAAAACGCAGCTTTTTTAACTAGACAAATTATGATAATTATGCACCAAATTTCGTGGAAATAGTTATGAGTCATCCAATCAGAATGCGAGTTTATATGAGTTCATGACCCGAACACGGTCACCTCACGCTAATCACGATTTTTTTACGCTCTGCTTCCAAGAGACCGAAGAACCCCAGAACAAATAAATAAGTAAATAAAAAATAAAAATAGAAAAAACAAACAAACAAACAAACAGACAAAAAACAAACAACAAACAAACAGACAAACAAAAACAAAAACAAAAAACAAAAACAAAAACAAAAACAAAAACAAAAAAACAAAAAAACAAAGAAGACTACAAAAACAAAACGAAACGAAAACAAAACAATAATATGAGTCCGCATTAGTAACT